TTCACTTCTCCTGCGAACAGACTCTTTGGTTAGGTTCAAACCCGCGCATCTACGAAAGTTTCAAAACTGTTTACGATAAATTTATCATTCATCATAACTCAATGCCGTGAGATTTTCGACGTTATTTATATAAAGAACTCCGCGAGTATTTGTAGTAGAAATACGAAAATACCACCAAAAAATTCCGCTTGAAAGATACTATACACTCGAACAATGTTAAATAGCCATAAGATATAAACTAGCCATACTCGAACAATGTAAGATAGTCATACCATACGTATATACAATACACTTTGAACAATGTAAACATTGAAATATGTAGGACGATGGGTCACTAAGCCATACGTTTCGCCGAATATAACTTCAGTCCCTCTCAACCTATATTTTTCGTAATAGTCTTGTTCGAATCACAATCCAAGACACTATTTAGAGTGTTATTTTCAAGTTTGTATCTATAGATTTGCATCTTTTATTTCTGTATTTCAGAATATCTAAATTTTACGCGGGAGCTTCTGTCGGAAATACAGCTTAAAATATTGAAACAATCTAGCACTCGGGCCTTGAACCACAGAGAAGAGATATACAGAGAAGAAACTGACACTCGATAACCTCAATTTTTGTGTCACGCGTTCCACGCGCCACGCAAAATATTCGAGCCAGTGCCGCCGCTGAAATTTCATAGCAAAAGATAGTTCGAAAGGTGAAAATCGCTTTTTTTAAAAAAATGAGATACCCATGGAAGTTTTGTTCAATAAATTATTGTAGAATAACGGTAAGCAATCACTTTTATTGATTTATTTTTATTAAAAGTGTTAACATAACATTTTATTTTGCAAAAGTTTGTTTTTTCCCTATCTACTCCTTATTAAAATCGTGAAATGCACTGGCTGGGAATTTCAGATGCCTATGTATAAAAAACAAAGCATGAGCAAATGATATAAATTCCTCAAAATGTAACTCTTGCATAAAAAAACATGAATACTTCTATAATATGTATAGTTTTTAGTGGGAAGTTTCCTCAAACTTCACAGTATTGTGATGTCTGGGGGGAATTCAAACGAGTAAGTCAGTCAGTCATTCATTCAGTCATACAGTAAACTTTCCGGGGGGTGTAGACGATTTATGTTCGTAGTGATTTATTGTACTTAATCAGTGCTTTGAAGGTTATTTAGGCAATTTCAGTTGTCTTCTTTAAATATCCTTTTGGATTTTTGCCAAGTTCACAAAAATTTCGAGGAATCGTTGTCGTTATGCAAATTTTATAACATTCGCTTCTCGTCGGTTTTCGTGTTGTGTAAAGGATTTTCCCCCGGAACACCCGATTTTTTCTTTAGCAGCGCAAATGCGCATGCGCTATCAAGCCGTAGATCAACGATAGCGTGACGATGCTAAGAAGGAGCCAGGCAGTGTTGTTTTCAAATATATAAATATTTTAGACATGAGTATTACTTTACAGCTAGTAAATCTTTGAGAATCTGCGCAATATATAAATTGATGTTATGCATTATGGGCATTCAATCAACTGAATCAAGTACCGATAGTATTTTATCACGGTATATTCATTATACGAAGCTGCGAAGGAGCTAGACAGTGCTTTTTTTCAAATATATAAACATTTCATTTTCAGAATTCAGACGTAAATATTGAGAAAATCTTTGAGATTCTAGGCATTCAATTAAGTGTCGATATTATTTAATTTATTTTGACGGTATATTCGTTATACAGAGCTAGGAAGGAGCCATACAGTTTGTTTTTAAATATATAAACATTTCAGACATGAATATCTTGGATTCTATGCAAGGTATTGATGTTTTGTATTTTACCGGCGTTCAATTAATTAATATTTTAAATGCCGATATATATATATATATATATATATATATATATATATATATATATATATATATATATATATATATATATATATATATATATATATATATATATGCAGTTAGCAGTACACATGTAACACACAGAACTAGTAAATAACGTAACCTTGGCTCACCATCTGATGCCTTATAGCCAAATTGGTTAGAGCGTCTGTCCGGTTATCAGAGGTTTACGCGGTTCAATTCCCGTTAGGGCTCAGAATTTTTCTGAGTATAGGCTTGATACGCATCCACACCAAAACACATATTCTACAAGCTGCCTCAAAAACACACATATACAGAAATGCAGTTCTTAATAGTAACATCAACAAGACATGTCGAGACTTGCAGTTAGCAGTACACATGTAACACACAGAACTAGTAAATAACGTAACCTTGGCTCACCATCTGATGCCTTATAGCTCAATGGTTAGAGCGTCTGTCCGGTTATCAGGTTATCTAACCAATTTGCAAATTTCGACACGTTGTAATGCCGTTTCCTGACCATCAGATTTCTGTCAAATCTTCCCCCAAAGTCCAGGAAATGGCTTTTCAGAGACTCTAAATTCAAAAATTTTCCTGGGGGGCATGCCCCCGGACTCCCCTAGACAAACCTCGCACCTGCGGCGCTCGGTTCGTGCCTTCGGCCCTCGTTTATCAAGCGTAATATTATAGGGGCGCATATTGGTTGTCAGCCGACTGCCCCAGAAATAGTACCCAGCACGCCACTGCTCTCCATCGAGGAAAACAATAAAACATATACACTTTGATACACTTTGGAAGCATCCCTGCTAGCGTAGTATTCTTTCCTCCTCGTCATGTTGCCTCAAAAGTCGTTATTTGAAGGATTTTCGCACAAAAAAGCTCAATAATCACAATATATTTTGGAAACTTCTAGCTTCACTCCTTCACTTGGGAAAAAAACAACGCGCGTGTTATTGCCAGAAATGAGACTGGACCGAGTATAAACCGAGATGCCCAACTTCCGGTGGAGTCCCCAGGCAAAAACAATCACAGACATGCGCAGAAGGGACTGTAACCTACCTTTAAACGAATTCATTTCACTTTACTGCCTGGTACTGTCTATTTCGAGTATTGACATGCCCAATATCAATTTTCGATCCTGTAGTAAACAAAGGGGAAATCCCGCTTACAGGGGGTTGGTCCATTACTTAGCATAACCTAACTTGTGCGAGGCCTCCAGAGAAAACTAAAAGCGCTAAAGACAAGCTGATTTTTTTAAATAATGTGTAATTTATCAGTGAAGAATGAAAAATAATATTTAAGGTATGCTAATTTTTGGCTGAGATAGACCGTTTTTAGTATGCTGACTTGTCGACTGACCTGCGGTAAGTGTCAATATGTGGCGGTTCGACGACTCGTCTTGTGCAAGCTGTTCAGTCAAAGTTTAAATCGGTATAAGCTGAAAAATAATCTCATATGACACGAATATTATGGGTAAAGAATGAAAAAAAATATTATGACGATAAAGAAACTTGTGGCGGAGAATGAGCGTTTTGAATCGCTAAGCGGCACGCGTGTTTGCAGTCTCCATCAATATGTCGCTGTTCGTTGACATAACTTATGCGAGGCCTCCAGAGAAAACTAAAAGCGCTACAGACAAGCCGAATGCTTTAGGTGATGTGCAAATTATCAGTGAAGAACGAAAAAATTTATTATAGCGTTACATTTATTCCTTACGACGATAAAGAGATTTAGATAGGAACTAACCGTGTCTTGCTCAAGATTTAATTGGCCCGACACGGTTTGGCGACTTGACTTATGCAAGCTGTTTAGAGCAATCTAGAAGCAGTAGCGACTTAGGGATTGCGTTATATGATAGTCCTTTTCCCGAAGAAGAATGAAAAAATTATTGTCAAGATGGGTGAAGGCTTTGTGGAGTTAGAGCCATTCGAACACGAACGCCATGCCTCTGGCTCCAGATTCAATCTGAAACGCTCGCGTTCTGAGTCCCAGGCCCCCAAGCACCACGGATTTTTTTCCAAAAATGGTCAAAATTGCCATGTTTGAGGGCCTACATCTCAAACTATTGAACTAAATCAAAAAAGGTTGAAGAACTTCTAAAATAAATTTTTCTGCTCTTTTCAAATCCGTAAAGATCCCACGAGTGATATAGGCACTTTAATTAAAAATAATGATTTCCCAAGCTTAGCGTTTGCGGTGATAGTAAGTCATAGACTTTATACACACACACATATATATATATATATATATATATATATATATATATATATATATATATATATATATATATATATATATATATATATATATGCTGTTCATATTACAGTTGATTTCACATAACTTTTCCGTGAATGCAACGACTTCGGAACTTCGCCGGAACTTCGTTGTGAAGTTCAAAAGTTCATACTGACATTCACAAGCTGGTTTGTAAACAAAGCCTCTGATTGATCCCTGAACAAAAATAAGCCAATCAGAGGCTTCGTTTACAAACCGGCTTGTGAATTTCAGTATGAAATTTTGAACTTCACAACGAAGTTCGGAACGAAGTTCGCAACATTCACGGAAAAGTTATGTGAAATCAATTGCAATATGACAATATGCTATCAATCTGTCCGTATATACGTCTTCAGGAAGCTGGAGATATAGCGAGAATGTATATATACATATACATATACATATACATATACATATACATATATATATATATATATATATATATATATATATATATATATATATATATATATATATATATATATATATATATATATATATATATATATATATATATATATATATATATATATACGGGGTGTATCAAAATAAACGCAATTCATCTTTTGTGCTTAATAACTTTCGAAATACTATTTCTAGTTAAACGCTTTTAGGCTTACTTCAAAGCCTGTTCTTTTCTCTTTCAAACAAACTATTATCCTTGTCTCCAATGCTAGTAATAATTGCACAGGAAAAGCTTTAGTAAAACCTATCATTTTTAGTTGCTGTTTAATTATGCAAGTTTACTATGTTATTGTTTAGTCGGTTTAAATGTTAGAATTTTCTTCTTTAAACTTTAATGTTGTCGTTACTACATCTGGAAAACCACGTTGGAACAAATTAAAAGTATTTTAAAAGAGACCAGGTTGTTTGAAAATCCTAAACGAATGCTAAATAACGTCAAAATATATATACATAAATAGGTTTTGATTGTCCGATGCCTGGATTATTTCTGTCGGTTGGTTTATTTTAACCCAAAAAAGGGACTTCTTCAGGCAAATTGTGAGATTATTTATTAAATTCCTCAGACCAGTTTCGCATGTTAAGGCTTCATCAGTGAGTACAATAATCTAAATAATAAAATCGTCCTCTATATATACATGCATTTATCGCTTGATTGAGAATGTAAAAGCTAAAGAATGTTATTAAAAATGTTAATTTAAGTTCTAAGTTAAAAATTTTAAAATTAACTTAAAAGAGTGATTAATTATTATACAGTATTAATTGCTGATTGTACCATAGGATATATTAGAAGCCTGATTGTTCCAATTAGTCAAACTAGATATTGATATTACGTCCAGCACAACCATTCATAATTCTGTCCGAATATTCCGAATCTCAAGTGCTTCGATCACTTCACGCTCATACCGGTAATTTATATTTGAATGGAGGATTTTCCAACTTATTGTCGATTCGCTTTGTGGGTCAATATTGTGAGTTCTAAGGTGTACATAACTGTTTGTTTATCCATTCTGAGATGTTCCTTTATCCGTGATCGATCGTATTGTTCTTCCGGCTCCTCCCACACAGACCAGATGACAATGTAAACAATTAATAAGGTAGATCGTATTCTTAACCTTGCATAAATTAGTTTTAATTGCTAGTTTACAAGTAGTCAAGTATATCACAGTTATCGGGGCAACTTAGCTTCTCTTTACGCGGAGCAAATATTTTTGATAGGGATGGTCCAATTAGTATATATATAATTATATATATATATATATATAATTATATATATATATATATATATATATATATATATATATATATATATATATATATATATATATATATATATATATATATATATATATATATATATATATATATATATATATATATATATATATATATATATATATATATAATTATATATATATATATATATATATATATATATATATATATATATATATATATATATATATATATATATATATATATATATATATATATATATATATATATATATATATATATATATATATATATATATATATATATATAGTCATTGCCATAAAGGTTGTCCAGATCAAATATATCTAAATACCTAAATATCGATCACATGACATGTATTTATTCGTCGGTACTGGTGGGGCGTGCGTGATATTTGCGTGTTCGATTAGCGTGGTGAAATTTTTCACAATGCCAAGGCTTTATTCGAATGATTTACGCTGGAGGATGATATAGCAACGATATTTTTATAGTAGAAGCCATGAGGACATAGCTTCACAATTATTTGTTTCTTTGAAAACCGTTCTTCGGACAGTTAGAACTTTTCGAAACACGGCTGATGTGAAACCATGCCGTCTTGGTCCCCCGACAGGAAGCATAACACTATTTCCCCATGAAGAATACATTGTATGTAGACTAACAAAAACAATTTTACCTGTCGTTTTACTGTTAAGAACTGATCACATTTGTATTTATTTTATAGTTGTACTTTTGTTTAAGGATAAACTGAAAGCTCGACAGTATTACAGCTATACTCAGTGGGCACCGCATTATTCGTCCGTGATTACAGCTATACTCAGTGGGCACCTCATTATTCGACTATATCAGCAATTTCGAGTGACGGGCTTGTAGCTAACCAACTGATGAAAAATCCATAGGAACGATTTGACGCGAATTCGTTTATACGATTTCTTAATGAGCAGCTTTTATACCGGCAATGAATCCGTTCAACGGAGAAAATTCGCGATCTGTTATCGTACAACAAACTTAATTGTGCATATAACAAACTTAACAAACTTAATTGTGCATATAAATAAAACCAATATTTGAGAAATTAACCTTGTTATTGTTATTGTTATAAGCACAACTTCTTGAGCTCCTGGGAATTTTCAACCTACTGTATGTCAAGTATGTCAGTCTGAGGTCTGAAGTGATAAAGCAAATAATTGACCTAAAGGAAATGTAGTACCAAGTGATTCTGTGATGCAAATAGTGTTTAACATTCGCAAAGACTAATCTTCTACCGGTTCAAATCTGGAGACTATGGTGCATGGCAGAAAACGACTAATTGCTCCATAGTCATATGACTTCTTGGGACATGATGAATAGCGTGATTGTAAATGCCCCCAAACGGACGAATTCTTAAAAGCGGGCCTGGATCAAATCCACTCCATAATTTCTGTAATATGGATAGACTCCTTGGCTTTAACTGTCGGTGAAATTAGTAATCTCGTTCACTTCTAGGTTTATAATCTAATTTAACCATAGTCTACAGCTAGCAGATTCTGCAGTGGTGTTCCTTTGCCACTTCAATTGGGGGGAGAGGGGGCTGGTGACACATTTGGTAGGATTGGGAGTTCGTATTTTCTCACCTTTGAATTTTATTATTAAAGGAGAGCAATGGCAGCTCATATATGACTTGAGCTCACATGGTATAATTGTTATATATGGATATTTTTCACTCCATATAATATGACAGGCCAGGGCGCATTCGGCGCAAAGGGTACGCCGAAATTATAATTCTCCGCGGCAGGCATGCATGACAGGCTGAGCTTAGCTATGCCCAAATGGTTCCCAGCAAGTAAAAATTCAAAATGTACTGTCAGCATAATAGAATGCAATAGTAACCGTTTTCGGAGTTACTATCGTATTATGTTGTATGAAAAAAAGTCTAAGGGTGGCCTATAGTTGCATATAGGAAATGTTCCAATTCTCTAAAGAAGCCTATATATAGGCATCTATATCGAGCTCTGTAGGCTTATATATATGCGCCACGTTAGGTCATCTATAGAAAATGTTCCAATTGCCTACTAATAAAAACCTTTAGGTTTCCTATAGGAACCTATTATAGGATGGCCTTTGGGCCAGGCCTATAGGATTTTTTTGTAAGGGAATTGATTAAAATACTAGCTCAGTGATTCCCGCAATTACGTGCATTGTTCATTTTTCATATTAGTGGTTACAGGCTGTACAGATGGAATTGGAAAGTCATATGCTAAACAGGTAACGTGATTGTGGATGTTAACTAATGACACACACGCAAAAATGAAACGCTAACAGTCAAAGTGACGCTCTTTCCGAGAGGTTGTAAGCGAAATCCTCAAGTCTTGTAATGAGGTCACACAAAAGATAACAATTATGTGGTTTTCTTGCTGAGGCTGACCAGTAATTCGCACAGCTGCTATTTAGACGGGTCAATAAGTTGCTCAACCGTCAGTCTGGATTTGCAATGTAATTAATCCTTAATGAGAAGCGTGCTAGCCTGATAATAATTGGAATGATTGATTGAATGCACATGCATGAACAATGGTAAAGGTTTTTTAAAGGATTTTTCTTCTTCCGTGTCTGTTTCATGACTCTGAGTCAATTTTATACAGGAAATTGCATGGTTACCTAACCGGCCACTTAATTTATATACCCTCAAAATTTCTCAGTAAACTACATGCAACGTCAGGATTTAAACTGCTTTCAGATCGGTGGACTGGCCAATCAACCTGACTGTGCTAAAGTTAAACTGTGTTTCATTTATAGTTGGCTGCCAAAGGTCTGAATATTATATTGATGAGTCGAACTAAGGCAAAGCTTGATGATGTTGCATTTGAGATTGGTGAGTATAAATGACTGTTCTAAGAGAGCACGGAAGACAGATGCTGCAGGCGCACTCTCTTACTCAGTGCTCACACCAGGCCGTTAGGGTTAGAGTTGTGATTTTGGTCCGTGAACAAAGAAAATTATAATAGTGCGAGTAACATAATGATCATACATAGTCTGCTGTGAAGATATGATGGTCTGGAAGCCCGGCAAACATCAAAACTACAAAATAGAAGGCTTTTGTGTGATGTTGAACTGTATTTCGACGTGGACAAATACTTCATTAGGTTGCACCTTCAAACTCAGCAATCCTATTGGACGATTACGTAATTATACGAAAATACAATGAGCTCAATTAAGCACCATGACCGTGCATGTTAACATAAACCAAAACGACTTGTGATATATTAATAAAGTGCAAGTGACACGAAATCCACCCCTCCACCCATTTTTATGCATCACTTGAAAGTACCTTGAAAATGATGAAGAATGCATGGCCTTAAACAATTTATTCACAGCTCATCTCGTTCCCAATTCAAGTTATCGGGCATTTTATTTTTTGTATCACGGCGTTACTAGTTTGGCTTAAGGAGGCTCCCTACAGTTGCGTGCGGGATGTTCGCGGGACCAGTACGTGAACTATCCCACGCAACCGCATGATCAAAACAAAACAAAAATTGACCACGCTTTTTTTAAAAATAAAGCTATTTCTGAAAGGTTTCTAATGGAAAAAAGCGTTGAATAATACTTCGTTTTGAGTGCCAAATCACTTGCGAGTCTATACAGCAATTCTACATATGATACGAATATCACTAGACCAAAAAATAGCTACGAAACAATGTTTTTTAATTTTTTTTAATATACACTGTCAACTGTAAAACATTTGCAAAATTGCATACAAACGTTTAAAAAGTTATTTATTTCTCAAGAAAACGTTCACGTCTTTAGTCGTGTGTCTACAAGATTAAAGTGATTATATGTAAACAGAAAAATATTTCAGTTTCATAGCCTAATTGTTCATTTTTAGCAAAAAGTACAAAACCAAACATGAAACAAAAAAACACGTCCACCTGTTAATAGACTGTTACAGCTCATAGATTCAGTAAACGGCAGGGTTTAATTAGCTTCAACCTTGTTTTCATCGATTTGATCCTTCACATTAATCCTTGGCTGTCCATGGCACTCAAATAAATCGAAAAGTTGACAAAAACAAAACAGTAAAAACAACATTTCCGCTCGATTTTGCTGAATGAAAACTCGTTCTGCGCCCGCGTACAATCTTTTACTAGTCAGCGACGCTTTTCAATAAGGGGAATTTCTCGAGTTACACGAGGCTATTTTCTAACTTTGTTTGCATTTTACTCATTAGTTTCATCGGTGACCTATCTTCAAATTTTGACCACGAATTTATTTTGCGGTAAATTATATAAATTTCAATTTTTAAAAAAATCTGTAGTGTGGAAATATCGCAATAAAATTTTCGCTTTTAAAAAAATCACACACTACAGAATTTTTTTAAACTTTCACCACAATTGCAGAACATCATTCCCTATTGATATATGAAATAAAAAAGATAGGTCACCGACATCGTTTTTGAGATAGCGGCACATTTATGGGTTAAATTGGAAGGTTTTGTGCTGTCGTCATGTTGCCATGGTAACACTGACGTTGTCGAAATCTAGTTCGAAATATTCCTTAGGTGACCAATATTGTCACCAAGTCGAAACGAATTCGCGTTCTGCACAAATAAGCCTGTTTTACGGAATTATTGGGTAAACAAGAATAACTGTAGGGAGCCACCTTAAGATAGTAGGAAAGAGAAGAAAGTCCAATATCTCAATTGAAATCATATCGAAATTGGATAAAATTTGGAACAGTTAATAAGGGCACCTAAGCAAACATTTTGGAACGTTTATGTGGTTGTCATAGTAACACACTAGTTACCAGGATTCTCTCTCAGTACGCTTCTTACCCACTGTGTTTTCACCAAATCGAATTCCTTTCTGTTAAGCCGTCTCTCCAATAACCTTCTCAGTCTTCTCATCAGAAGCCTACAATATATAAGCCCCGGATGTTTAATAGAGGATGACTGTACGGTAAATACGTATTAGGTACACATTAGACTTGATAACATGAGACGTTTTCTTTTCTAGAAAAAGACTACAAGGTTAAAACTAAAACAATCCAAGTTGATTTCTCTGGTAGTCATGAAATATATGAACCAATTGCCAAGGAACTGGAGGGCTTTGAGATTGGTGTTTTGGGTAGGTAGAGAAAATATTACCTGAATTTATTTAAGGTAAAGTGAAGAAATAACCTTCAATCAGTGTGTTTGTTCTCAGCAACGAATTTTACTTTAAGACATGTTTTCGCTTGCTATATTCCGGTTTATAGTACACTAAAAAACACCATCGCAAAGGAAAGTGCTGCCGTATCGCCATATAGATTGTAAATTGAATTCAACTAAATTTTCATACATGTGTTTTGGCGTAGGTATAAGAAGAACGCCGAGTTTTTGTTTGTTCCGCAAATTGAGAACTTGGTTTAATCACGTCAACAGAGATAACCGTAAGCGCTATTGCCTTGTTCTCAGTGATGGTTGTAAACTGTTAGCCAATCACAAGGCGCATCGGTTTATTTTAGTCAAAAGGGTTAAAGAATCTTACGACCAATTTCTTCTTACGGATATTTTTTAGTAAACAACGTCGCTGTTGCCTCTTCTCCTGCTTACCTCCACGAATTATCAATCGAGGTTAGTATATATATAGGCAGTTCACTGTACCGTTGTTCTAGTTTACAACAGTATATAATTAAGCTTTAGAATTATCATAATTCTAAAGCTTAATTATACAACATCTGCTTGGGTGAACAACTCTTATACATAATTCCCATGCTTAGTTACCTATATTCTATATTCTATGTTTCATAAACTACCCCGGTAAGGCAAAGAAAGTACGACAGTTTGATTCACCATGATTCAAAAACTAAAAGAGCTATTACTCATAAATAAGTCACCGTATATTCTACGATGTTCAACTTAAATTTTGATATACGTCTTGTACCTTTTCATGCAATATTGGCTGAGACAACTGTGCTTAAAAGTAAGCAAACACTTTTGAAACGGCCAAGAATTAGCTGAAATTAGTAAACATAACGTTAAACCGTTCTTAATTACAACGTGGTATCGACCACCGAACGATCCAATTGACACCCTTTATAGATTTAAGAACTGTTTACAACTAATAGACAATGACAATAAAGAAAGTATTATCCTAGGAGATGTAAATTATGACTTCTTATCCACAAGTCTATCTCCCCAAGCTTCGGAACTCAAATTTATTACAGGACTGTATCAATATGAACAATTGATAAGTGAACCTACAAGAGTTACTAAAGATACTCGGACATTAATTGGTCACTTTTATACAACAAATCCTGATAATATTATTTCAAAGGGAGTGTCAACTGTTTCCATTAGTGATCACTATCTTATTTATGGCATCAGAAAATTTAAGGTCTGCAAAGAAAATGCAAAAATAATCGAATACCGCGACTACAAACATTTCAACGAACAAATATTCTTGCGCCACCTAGAAAATTACTTATCCGATTTTGACCTGGATCAATACGATCCAACTATATCTTGGCAGATTTGGAAGAATAAATTCTTCACAATCTGGAACAACCATGCCCCAGTAAAAAGGACGGAAAGTCGGCACTAAGCGACTACCTTGGCTAACAACAGACGTAATTCACAATAAACGACATATTAATTTTCTACATAAGAAAGCTAGAACAACCAACACAACTGATGCCTGGTCTGTCTACAGAAAGGCAAAAAACCAATACAATAGGCAAATAAAAGATACAAAGTGCTCCTATTATCGAAGCAAACTACATAGCAATTCAGGAAATTTAAAACAAACATGGAAAACACTCAACGAATTGATGAATAGAAAGTCAACTAATAAGAAAATCCCAGAAATGAAAGATGAGAATGGTGAAGTAATTGTCGAAACGCTGATCCCTAATGCCTTTAATAAATACTTTGTTGAACTAGGGGATAAACTTGCGAATAAAATTCCTCAATCGAATATTTTACCGGATAGTTTTCTCAGTGATGTACACCATCCAGCTAATGGGCTCCCTAGCTTTCAAGAAATTTCAGAAAATGATGTTTTGACTCTACTTCATGGTTTAGGCCCCAATAAAGCATCGGGAATCGATGGTATCTCCTCTCGTATCTTAAAAATTTCGGCAGCAGTTATTTCACCATCCCTAACATCAATATTCAACCAGTCAATCTTAACAGGCATATTTCCCAATGATTGGAAAATCGCTAGAATTACTCCGATCTTTAAGTCTGAAGCTTAAGATGAAATGACAAACTACAGACCAATATGCGTTATATCAGTAGTTGCCAAAATTGCAGAAAAGCTGATTTATAACCAAATCTATAATTATTTACATAACTATAATCTACTTTCAAACTCCCAACACGGATTTAGACCACTTAATCACTCAACTGTTACAGCATTACTGGACATAACCAACGAATGGTATACAAATATTGACATTGGGAAACTAAATGGGATTGTATTTCTGGATCTGAAAAAAGCATTCGATACTGTCAACCACAATATACTCTTAGACAAAATAGCAACTTATGGAATAAAGGGAACGGCACATCGCTGGCTGGAGTCGTATCTATCAAATAGGACCCAGTGCTGTTGTGTGAATGGCAAACTATCAAGTCCATCAATGAAAACAGGCATACGAAAATTATGAAAACAGGCATACCTCAGGGTTCTGGTTTAGGCCCATTGTTATTTCTAATTTACATCAATGATTTACCAAAATGTTTAAACGCCGGGACAAAACCAGATATGTTTGCGGATGATACCCAAATTGCAACATCAAGTGACGATATCAAAGTTATCACTGAAACATTAAATAGAGATTTAAACAATGTTGCAAATTGGCTGTCCGCAAACAAATTAACTCTGAACAATAGTAAAACCGAATATATGATAATTGGTTCGATCCAAGAAAAGGCTTAGTCAAGTGACTGCCGATCCTGCTATCAGTATACGTAACTTAGAAATTAAGAGAGTTGAAATGACAAAATCATTGGGCCTAATGATAGACGAGTCTTTAGACTGGACCGCGCAGGTCGAACACATTTCAAAAAAGGTCACTTCAGGCCTTGCTATTCTCAGACGACTCCGGGATACAGTCGAATTCAATACCTTAATAACAATATACAAATCCATAATTCAACCTTATTTCGATTATTGTGCTCAAGTGTGGGGTTGCTTAGGGAAAACATTAGCAGATAAAGTCCAAAAATTACAAAACAGAGCGTTTCGAATAATCACTCGTGAGAATTATACGACACGATCGGCTGATATATTAAACAAGCTAAAAGTTCCGAACCTCGAAAAAAGAAGAATGCAACAAGATTCAATTCTCATGTACAAGGTGAAAAACAAATTGGTCCCCGATTACTTGTGTGATATGTTCACAGATGTTGGTGATGTACACGACCATAACATAAGACAGTCGGGAGCCCATTTGACATTGCCTAAACCAAAAACAAATAGTATGAAAAATGCATTCTCCTACAGAGGTGCGGAAGTCTGGAACTGCCTTCCTGCATCGGTAAAAGCATCAACAACTATTGCTAATTTTAAATCTAACTTGAAGCATGCAAATTAACATCAAGTGATCCTGCCATTGTTTCCATCTACTTAAAATAATTTTCTTGTAATTATTTCTTATTTCTGTTTGTGTGAGCACGGCCGGTTGGAAGATCACCTTTTTTCTTTTTATCTCTTGTACATAATTAATTTTAGTATAGGTGAAATTGTACCGTGTTGAAATATAGTTAATAATAATAATAATAATTGAATAACCGTTACCATTTTCTCGCGATTATTGTTTCAATTAGTGGGTTGGTTTGACGAGGTCATGCAAGCATTGTTCTGGGTTTGTTGACAGAAATGTCAACATGAGCGAGTATCTCCGAATCATACGCCGACAACTTTGTACAGAGACTGTCTGTACCAGTGTGGGTAGTACCAATGTGAAAATGCTGTGCTGAGTGGTTATATTACTACCTTAAAAAATAAGCAGAACTCGACGTTTCGAGCGAAGGCCCTCGAAACGTCGAGTTTCTGCTTATTTTTTAAGGTAGTAATATAACCACTTAGCGTTGTACAGAGAGACTTTCGTGTTCACAATATCGATATAGTTGTGAATTGGAGAGCAACGATGCAAACAACGTCAGCCAAATTTGTTTATGGCAGACTTTCTCCAATTCTTTAGACCGGCCATTTATACAATTGGATCGACTTGTCGTATACGATCATATTGGCGTATGAAAACGACTGCCAACGCACTATTCCTGTTCATGAGTTTATGGTGAAATTTGAAATGTGACATCCACACACGCATTTATTCGAGTACATACGGCAGGATAAGAATCGTATCCGACTAGTGGTATCGTGTAATTGGCCTCTTGAAGACATATATCTTTGCTATGATTATAAAATAAATCACATTACAGTTACATCGCTGAATTGCCTGATAATTTACATGATAAACTATATGAACCTAGAAATGTCCTAAAATAGCAAATCGTACAATAAATACTATTATATATATATAGTTGTTTGTGATGTTACCCTGAATGTGCATCCACACCGGGCAAGCTGAAAAATTAGCTTGGCCACGGTGAGAATCGAACCTGCGACCTTTGGAATACTAGTCCAATGCTCTGCCAACTGAGCTACGTGGTCAAGTCGATTCGAGTTTACGATATTTCGGAACTGAGTCTAGTTCCTTCGATATCAGTGTATCAAACTTCGCTATCAGTGTATCAAACTCGAACAGACTTGACAACGTAGCTCAGTTGGCAGAGCATTGGACTAGTATCCCAAATGTCGCGGGTTCGATTCCCACCGTGGCCAAGGTAATTTTTCAGCTTGCCCGGTGTGAATGCACACCCAGAGTAACATCACAAACATCATATTCACCTGAGTACACAACACAAACACACACAAAATAATTATATATAGGCTATATAGTTGCCAGATCTCGCTGTTCCCCATGTCATCCAATCATGATCCGGTGATCAGGATGTTCCATTGTCTTTTCAGTTGTGACCCTCCACTAGGGCTCTTCTATAAATGGAATGAATGTCTCTCTGCCAGCGTTTTGAGGTATATAATTCTATATTTCAGGTTATGTGGACACAGGTTAATGTGAATTTAATGTCGACAGTTATGGTGAGTATATTTTGCTGGATCGCTGAATGCATTGTGTTCCCAAAATGTGTTAACCTATTTAATTTAATCTATTTAGAACTGTTGAACAGTTTTTTTGCACTCAAATAAAGTTGTTTATTATATTCGGAAATAGCCTGGGAAAAGCAGCCGCGCCCGATTGTCTCGTTTCTTGACGACACGAACGTCTGCGTAATAAATTATAGCTCGCTGATCACACTGCTTCTTAGTTAAACATACTCACAACAGAGCCCGGATGAAGAATAATTTATTTGGTAAAAGTAGATTAATTTATAGTACAGGCTTAGGTTTGCGTGACGTCAGCTTATGTTATAGTTACGTATAATATTACGTGCACACACACCTACAGGAAACTACACCCAAATTTGCATCATCCGCGAAACCGCAAATGTTCACACCACGCACGCTACAAAGCCAATATGCCCTGAATCGAATCTGCACCTCCCTTCTGATTGGCTGGTTTATAACGATATATTGTATAAAATATGGAATGATTGTATAAATATGGAATGAATAGTTGCAACCAAGTACTGTATAGAATGGAACCTAGGAAAGACGGAAATGTTTTTCCCGCGAAACGTACCGGTAAACGGGTCATATGCACGGCCGCCCATTAAATAATGAAAATGTTGGTAAACACACAAACCCTCACCAACCAACCCACTTAACCACCACCCAACCACGGCCGACCAATCTATGGTCAATATGTGGACTTTATAGGATATCATTCCGCGTAACAAAACAATTTAAAATTAAAAAAGAATGTTTACAATTTTCGGAGTGTCTATTGTTTCGTAGCAAATGTATTATAGCAGTTTGGTTCAAATGGAGTAACAACTGAATTGATACTTCAAAATGATTTTCTTTCCTTGTCTGCATGACGACTCGTATGCCAATTTTATCCCTGAAATGGGGGTACGATGCCCACAATTTTTTTTTTAATTAATTAAGTTTTTTTCTAAATTCTAGTTAACGAGATTATTGATTCCTGCAATGCTTGAAAGGTATATAGGAAGGTTTTAGTTTCCGTAGCGAGCATTAATTTTCCGGCTTTTTTGTTTCATTATAGTGAAAAAACTGCTAAGTAATTATGCTAATTGAAAAACGCCTTTCATCATGTGATTTCGTATATTTATGGTGGCCAGTCATACATTTGCATTTCACGTGATTTCGTGTGTTTTTATGTGATCTCGTGTGATTTCACGGCTACCATATGATTCGTGTAATTTCGTGTGATTCCATGTGTTTCACCAGATTTTATGTGATTTCAAGTCATTTCAGATGCATTCGTGTAATTTCACAATTTCATGTGATTTTACGAGATTTGTTGTCATTTCATGTAACATGTCATTTCATATGATTCCGTGTAACCTCATGTGATTGCATTTGCATGTGTTTCACGCTGTCAAGTCATTTGATATGTCAGAGATTTCATAACATTATGATGTCGTTTGATTTCATGTGATTGCACTGATTTTCCGTAAGCAAGTAAGCAACTAGCCTATATAAGTGCTGGGATTACGGTATATATTTTGCTATATTTTTGCCTATCATTGTACTTGGCCATCCCGGTTATATGTTTTGTTTTGTGATTATCAAGACATCAAGTACTGTAGACTTGTAAACGTTACCACGTGGCCTTGCAAAAAAATAAAGACTTAATGCTACAAAGCCGGTTGTTTTATATGCTCCGCATTTTGTTGCTATACGAGTGTTCACCAAAACGTTTTTACCGATACAATTATTTTTCCTTGATCATGAGTTACAGAGTATTGAAAAATATTATTATACTGACGTCAGAATTTTAAAGCCGTTCAAACCATGTTTTACAAACGTTTTATTTTTAAAATGCTTAGTTAAGGTTAGGAAGTGACGCATAATCCAGACTTTTTAATTGTTTTCCAAGTATCCCTTTGACTAGCCTTTTATTTTTGGCCGCCATAGGTTGGTGTGCAAAATTGGCTAGCCTGCGAATAACAGTCGATCGATTGTCACATAGATATTCGGGAGTTCAAGAAACGACGTTTTGACAACATGTGCGCCAACCGGAAGTCAACCAAGTTGTAATATAATTATGGCGAGTGATGGCGACATTAGCAAAAACTATTGTCGCCAACAGGTCGGAAAATTGCCGTCGCTGACCAAATTTATCGCGGACGCTTTCTTTTTGCCAGCAAAAATTGTGAAAACAACAAAAACAGAAATTCGCTACCCTGTTTCTCTTACTGCGGCAGAAGATAAATAACAGAAAACTAGCAGACGTAAACGTTAATAAACGTTAATCAAGACCACAATTACTTGTCGCAATTGGGAAATTAATAATTCTTCGCTGAAACATGGCCGAAAATGGCGTTTCTTGCAAAGTGTGTGTTTTTGATGGCAAATAACCTGAAGCAGGAATTTAATATTGATGGAATGTTACTTGAAATTTGCAGTACATACGTTTGTTGTCCAGGACAGAGTATAAATATTTGGTTTTTGAGTGATACTGTGCGCCAACGATCATCGTCAAATTTCAGTATGTGAGGTATTTTGCAAAAATTGCTTGTTTTTCAATTTGTTTTTCACCTTAATTTCCTCATATATATATACAGGTTGTGCCAATGAAATGTGATTATAAGTCAGAACATGTGCTTTTCTTTTCAGTTTTTGTTAATAAAATGTAAACTGGCCTAAAAAATGAAGAAAGTACTGAATTTTGGCAAATGTCATGTGCAAGTGTGATTTATACGAAAAAGGCGACTCAGAAAATGAGCCTCAGAATAAACATTTTGCCATGTATTTTGCTATAATAGTTTTAAAATATTATTTTTAGGTTTTCAAAGTATTTAAAAAACAGATGAACATAGAAATCAGATTTTTCTATGACCCTCATTTAGAAGAGTAAACTTTGTGTTATTTTTAAACACAATTTTCGCTCGTTCAAAATTCTATATACACAAAATTTGTCATGTTTCGTTGGCACAAGCCAACGAAATATCGCTGTTTACCTTAAATTTCAAAGCATTTTAATTAAAGTTGGTATTAGATTTTTTGGCTTTGTAAAAAGTGAGGAAGTATTAGTATTTTGGTTTGAATTTCACATAAGCTATCAGACGACATTTTAAAAGGACAATTTTTGCTCTGTTTTGTTTTGCACTGAAATAATCGATACTAGTATAGTATGTGGCAATAGAGGAAATACAAGTATTACGGCAACATCATTTTGTTGTCAGTGAATCCAATTTTTGTGGTGATTTGTGGGTCTAAACAGCCGCTGCAAAATTGTCTTTCGAAGGCTTCGTTCAGGTTATTTATGTTTTTTAAGGTGGCACAATACACTTTTTAGCCAAAGGAGCAAAAGGGTTAAGTTTTACTTATAATTGTAACACATAGTAAGATGTGTCGCAAACAAGACGAATTCTGATAAAAGTTGCGTTTCCATGACAACTATAACGAATAATGGTAATACTAAATAGCCGAAAATATCGCAGTTTTTCGAGTTTTTTTCAAAAATGAGTTCGGTGACCCCAATTTTTTTTTAATAAATCAGTTACGTTAGTGTCGAGAAACATTTCTGGGAATTTTTTAAAAATCTGTCGACTCAATTCTTTAGAATTAAATTTCGACTTTTTGACAGTTTCTGTCGACAATTTTTTTTTATTTCCCATCATGAAATCTTGAAGTATGTTTCTACTCATGTACAAATTTTCAGGGTACCTTACCGAACTCGTTTTCGAAATAATCACGGTTTTATTCCGCGCGACCAGAGCTTTTCACACTCTGCAAGATCAATGAATTGACATGCGCGTACATGTTTTCGCAGGCGCATCTCCAGAAAAACACGCACAAAAAAGTTTTTAGCCTCGTCGAAATATCAAATATATGTTGTGTTTTCTTGCATAGAAATGCAAATATATTTAGTTTTGCATGCTAACTCGGGATAACGCCGGTCGAGCCGATCGCCGGTTTTCACAAGAGTTTGAACGTTGAACATTGCATTTTTTACCTTAAAATGTCTTCTAAAAAGACCATGGGCGTACCGGAAGGAAAAATTTAGGGGGGCGGAAAGAAATTTGCCCGACTGTTCAGGATTTTGCCCGACAAGTACCGAAAAAATATTTTCCGGAATTTATTTTGGCGACCTCCGTCGCCAAATAAATTTTGGTCATTGTACCATTTTAGGGGTCAAAAATTTTTTTTAGGGGTCAAGAAATTATACTATCTAGCAATTGCCATGGAAAGCCACCTTAAATCAACCAAGTGGAAGCACGCATATTTTCCGCTGAAAACCCGGGCAGTTTTTGCGCAACCTTGTCCCCAGGGTCTTCCTCGTGGTGGCGCGTGAGCTGAGGAAGACCCTGGTAAAATACGATGAAATCTCCAAGATTCATGGAGATTTATCGCATGCGCAGTAACGACAACGTTATGTTGCTGACTACAATTAGCGCTGGCGCTTACGATTTTCTTGCTTAAAAATACACATGTTTTGTTGATTCTTTATGTATTTATTCTCAAAGTTTTAACAAATTTTAAGAAAAATACGTCAGATATAAGCTGTGAACACACATGTACACAAAACTGTGCAACATTCGTCATCATATTGTATCAATTTGTCGGAGTATGGCGCTCATATTTGTGACATTGTTTTGTTCGCTTTGGCAACCCTGCCAACCCTCGTATATATCAGATGCTGTTCGGCCTCAAATGCGACTGAATGAACACTGATGGTGTTGCCTGGAATATGAAATGATATTGACTGATTATTCTGGATCACTTTGAATGAACATTGGAGTGGCACAATAAAGTGTCTGTATTAGGGTGGAGTCTATAATTAAGGACTGAAGTAAAAGGCACACTTTTGCATATTAATTTGAATCATAGCAACTACATATACTGTAGGTTTCAAATAAGTTTGAACAATGAACAACTGAAAATAAAAATTTATTTGATTTGAAACACTCAAAGGAATTACAACATATTATATGATAGTCATATGTACACAATTATGGGTATATTCATTAGGTTTATTAGCTGATATTTATGACCATCCTGGGACAACATTTTACTTTTCCCAAGAGATTTTACTTGCATGGTAGTAATATAGTAACAGAGAAGTGTGATGGATATGTGCAAGTAATTATCATTAGAAATGCAAATATTAAACTGTAATTTTCACCATTGTAAATGATTGTATTATTAAAGAAACAAAATACAAAAGTCAAACAAGGCTATTTAAAATAATACAGTCATAATACTAGACTGGTTAAAGAACTACTGAATAGAGGCATCATGAAAATATTCTAAGATTACTACCATGGCTCTGTACCAGGAAAAGGTATAGTGAGTTTCTTCACTTTGATGAACATTAGAAAACTATAATGCCATCAACTCATTCCCATTTAAAAATTTTCATGTTGGTCAATGTGAAATATAATCTTGAGGCCATCTAATTCTTAATGGTTGTTTACTATCTAATTGATGACATGATTATATATTTCCATGGAATTCAAGTTGGCTTTTCCCAAGTTGATGTAAAATATGGTTCACCTGTTAAAATAATAAAATGTTTATTAGTTGTTTTGTAACAGAACAGTACCTGCTTTAATTAAAGAAAATATAGGAAAGAGAAAATCAAAATAACAGTTGTACTGTATATGGAAAAAAAGAATAAAATCTTTCTAAGCAATTTCTACTGTTATCATAATTATCATACTGTTATCATAATTTGATTAAAAGTCTTTCTGTATGTGTGAAATGAAGTCTTTCTGTATGTGTGAAATGAAGTCTTGTATTTATACATGTGTGAAACTGTGTTTAATTGAAAATGTGATTTCCGAGACTCTGGGAAAATGTGAAAGCAACGTGTGAAAATAAATCGAATAAATTCAGTATAAATGTACAGTACCTACCTTGATATACAGAACAATCAGTCAATATCATTTCATATTCCAGGCAACACTATCAGTGTTCATTCAGTCGCATTTGAGGCCGAACAGGATCTGATATATACGAGGGTTGCCAAAGCGAACAAAACAATGTCACAAATATGAGCGCCATACTCCGACAAATTGATACAATATGATGACGAATGTTGCACAGTTTTGTGTACATGTATGTTCACAGCTTATATCTGACGTATTTTTCTTAAAATTTGTTAAAACTTTGAGAATAAATACATATTAAAGAATCAACAAAACATGTGTATTTTTAAGCAAGAAAATCGTAAGCGCCAGCGCTAATTGTAGTCAGCAACATAACGTTGTCGTTACTGCGCATGCGATAAATCTCCAAGAATCTTGGAGATTCCATCGTATTTTACCAGGGTCTTCCTCAGCTCACGCGCCACCACGAGGAAGACCCTGGGGACGAGGTTGGTTTTCGCGCAGCTCAGATAATTTTCCCACCTGTTGTTGTCGCCATCACTCTCCATATCTAACAGCTCGATTGACTGATCTGGTTGGCGTACTTGTTGTTGGTTAGTTCCACTGATCTAATAATATTAGATCAGCGGTTAGTTCATGCAAGTATTTAGGGGAAATATTCCCACAGCAACATGGAATATATAAAAATATATAGAAAAAAACTCCTGCATAGGTTCTACACCATAAAAGTTCGACAAACCTCCGGACTTATTGCAAAGAAAATCCCCCCCCCCCGTCCTCCCGTCAAATAGTTCTACACCTAATGAGTAATGGAGTGCTATAGACATAAAAAGCTGCATTTGAATTTTTGTACTTGAAATATTTCTTGCCAGACTGCATGTTATTGGCAATGTTTCAATGTTCACAGAGTTCACTTCAGATGTTCAGCCTTCTGATTTGACTCGCGTTTTCTCTAGCTTCTTCTCTTATATAGTTTCGAAGTAAATTTCTCGCTTTTACTTATCAAAACACAGGATGAACCGAAAGGAAAAATAAAAAAACAACTACTTTTGGACAACCGAACAAACTATACGGACAATAGTCAATAGACAACAAGTCGCTGAACTTTGTTTGCTGGCTGTGATTAGCCAATCATACCTTACGAAAAAATGTTCTTAAATTTGTTATAAAAAGTCTACATGGCCGAGGAATAAAATATTACAATGTTATAGTGTATTTAAGAAGAAAAATTATGCAACGTAAAACCAGATAACACAACTCACAACAGATAGTTGCTGCTGTTCGTAAAATGTTGAATTAGGCTAGTCGATAAAAACACCACATGCAGTCCACACTATGAAAATATTATAAAAGTTAAGGATAATCTAGCAACAATTGAAAAAGAAGAATCTAATCATGAACAACGGATATGAAATATGGAATTCATGTGTTAAAAAAAATAGCCTGGAAATTTAATGAATTTTCCGGTTAAATTAAAGTTATCCGACGGAAAGTTATATACCCTGCTGCCTGTGCTTCGTATATAGACTATAGAACGCGCTTTTGTCAGTCAAGGAATAATTATCCAATAATGCTGACGTCAGCAATAGTATTTTTCAATCTCCCTAACTCAAGGAGAAATAATTGTATCCACTCAATTTTTTGTTAGCACTCGTATAGTAACAGTCTAGAGTGAAACCCATGTGAAGCAGCCAACGTTCTAGCTTTAGTAGTGAAGATTTTAGGATTTGTCGCGTGATTAGTGGAAGCGATCTATACAGACTCAACAGCCTTTTTTCTATTCAGAGAAAAAGGAGTGGTTATTAATATATCCTCTGTTGGTTGTATCACGCCAGCGCCTCTCCTTGGAGCATATGCAGCAACAAAGGTATGACAACTATTAATAGTTCCCAAACATGTTTTAAACACAAGTCATTCAATAGAGAATAAAATTAAATCCAAGTTCCATACTTCAAAATGAATTGTTCGGACTTATCCCCGAGCCACGCGCGGTGGGCGTTGGGGGAAGCCCGTGGCAAGGGTACTAATTCCGCTCGGCTATTTACAGCCGGGGAAAGGAAAGCATTAGCGAAGTCTAAAGTTCATCAACAATCGAGAACGCATAGCTATGCATTTGCGGTCATCTCACTGATCTCAAAAATATAGCTGTTTGCCAGGAGTGAAGGAAACAAAGATTAAAAAACATGACAGAAAGGTTGGAAATCGTTTCACACAAAGAGTTATAAATCACCTTTTTTAAATTTTAATGAAACAGTAAGTACATGAAATCCTGAAGTGAAGGGTACTAACTACTAAGTTTGCTTTTACTGTTATGCATGACTTTGCTGTTCATTTTTCGCCTGCCGGAAGGCCCTGATCCTGAACATGTACTATATATACAATCTACATGCAGCTTTCATTTTCATTGTATGCCGTAAAATTTTCTTTGAATTAACTTAGGAGCTCAAATCATTTCAAGAGCGACCTGCATGATTTAAATTTATTTCATTTGATCAAAGTACGGGTAATAACTTGAAGAGTTTATCGGCAAAAAGCAGTTGAAGAGTTTATCGGTAATGAATATTCATAGTTGTTTCGTATTGAATTTTACATTATGATAGACCCATAGAATGCAAAATAACATACCTACTTTGTATATTTTAGAAATCGTTAGTTCTGTGGTTAAAAGTGTAAAATATTCAGTTTTTGTGGTTTTGTACAAAAACGTAAAAAAAAACAACGATCGTACGCGTGCCATGGCTAACATAACGCGACAAACGCGAGCCTGCGCTCAGTGTTGGCTTAATTAACAATATTTCATGTAAAAACAATGTTTGGAAAATGTGGGCGAGGGATTGTTGCGTGTTGTATATATTTCTGGTTTTATGTAATTTTATGTTGTTTTATGCTGTTGGGGTGAATTTTGTCAGTGCATGCGTGCACAGAGTAAGTAGTGCATGGTTTAAGCAACTTCATGAAAATATCTTTCGTTAATTGAAAGTCGTTTTTATCAAAGGAGGCATTCAACATTGGAGGAAAGGATTTTGCAGTTGTTAAGTGTAATATTGATCGCATGAATCACAGCACAATGTACAAAGCAGGCAAAAATTAGAGCACAGATTTTAAACTATTGACTATTCATGTATATTGTTTCTTCTGCAATAGGCTGGTATGACCAAATTTTCTGAAAGTCTTCAGATAGAGTATGCCAACAAAGGCATAATTGTCCAGGTAACGTACAGTAAAGGCCAATTGTGTAATCAGTCATTCAAAGTCTTATATATAAAAAACACCCGTTCCGCACGTTGTAACCAATAATCTATTGGCAATTGTAATGCCATTGTATGCAATAAAGTATTGGGTTGTAACTGATTATAGACAAACCCACAAGCATTGGACAAACGTTTTAGTTATAAATGTAATTTGCGTGACTTGGAGGCTGGCGGGGGCGGGGCAAATGCTAAAAAAAAAGTTAAAAAAAGGTCATCAACTTTAGGGTTAGGGGTTAGGGGGTGGGAGTTAGAGGTTAGGGGTTATAGGTTAGGATTAGAGTCAGGATTAGGGTTTGGATTTGGATTAACGTTTGAATTAATTGTAAACCCATTACAACCCAGTGCTTTATTGCATACAATGGCATTACAACGCCAATAGATTATTGGTTACACGGTAGTGCAGGAAGGTTGTTTTTAAAAACTACCTTAAAAATGGCTTGCACACAAAAATGGAAGGCTTAAAACGCAATTTGAATACTTTATATATAGGCTGCAAATTTGGAAGGTGGCTTATGAACTATCAAAGTTACTGTACCAGACAGTTTGATGTACACTAAATCCAACACGGGACCCCTAAAACTTAATTGGACGTTTTGCCGTCTTAGCCGATCACGTACGTTTTATTAAAAGCATACATATAACTGATTTTATGCATATTGATTTTATGCACCATTTATTTCTCAGACAAAAAGTTTTAATATTATGCGTAAAAGGCTATACTATAGCAAAAAATCCAAGTTTTAGAGGTCGCGCGTTGGACTTAATATACATCAAATTGTCTGGTACTTTCATAATTAATTCAAATTACGTTTTAAGCCTTCCATTTTTGTGCGCAAGCCATTTTAATGGTTTTTAAAAACAACCCTCTTGCACTCGAAAATCTACTTTATGAAATAATTTTAGTGATAAAGATACTGGCAGACCCCTAAGTACCAATATAGTTTTCAAACCTTTGCGGAATTTGCAGTTTAGCGGATATTTTCGAACTGTGCAGTTTTTTATACACTGTAGATTCCAAGGCATATCTTAACATGTTATACTGCGGGGCAATGCATATAAGCCATTCATGCATGAAATAAATAATTTTCTCGCGCATGTGAAGAACGTTTCGTCCATACGGCAGAAATCTCCCGCTTTTTGGTTTGACTTTGTTCATTTCAGCGCAGCTAAACGTACAGTGTCTACATTTCATTTGACCGTTTTATTTCGATTTTTGTCTTACCATCCCTTTTTCAGGGGTAAACACATCTATCGGCACGTATTTAAACCTCAAGTCTATGTTCATTTTTTGGCGGGAAAAATTAGCCGGACACAACGGGACAAATTGCTTTGTCGCGACTTTTGGATTCGGTCATTTATTGACATTTTTTGTGTTCTTTTTTGTAAATTGTTTTTATTTTATCAACTGTGGCAGGGTCACCACATATATGCCGGTTGCTGTGGGCCCTTTTACCTAACCCACCCTGTCGACTTTCCCTGTGGGAGGAAACCTGAGTACCCGGAGAGGACCCACGGCTTTCGGCATAGCGCCCCTTTTGCTGTTTCCACGTTTTCGAGTCGCATTGAGAAAGCTCTCACTGAGGCTTGAACCTGCGGCCTTAGAGGTGAGAGGCAAGTGCGCTAACCGCTTCGCCACCGAAGCCCCATAAATATATGGCTTATTATATAAATATAGTTTACTATTTACACACAGCTGCGCATGGACTACGTCGAGTATAAACTTACAGTATTTCCAGTCCAGATCAAATAAAATCAGTCAGAAAGGTTGGACGTACTTCACAGAATAAACACATACAGAGTCCGACTTCTTGTTGGCGCCTATGATTTTGGCTGTTGCAATGCTGTCGCCTTGTTCCTAGCCATTGCGCTTATGAGAGGCACAAGCACCCCTTGAATATATTCAAAATGGCGGACGTTCAGTCATGTGAATGCCTCTTGCAGGCGCGCTGGCTAGGAGAATGACGAGTGATTTTGATGACGATTTATGGCGTGGGGGTAGTTATGCTTTTTGGCTGTATGTGTATATTCTGCGTACGTATTTCGTATTTTGCTTCAGTCTTCAGCGATATATAATAAAAAATATCGGGGAATAAAAGTGCATGATACGTCATCGTCGCCATGTTGGATGGATTTGACAAAAGATTTTCCTTGTTTGCAATTCGACTTGCGTCCAACATGGAGTAATTCTTTGTTGAATCTTTTGAGAATGGTTGGACACCACCGACTATATTTTTCCAAAGACAAAGATAACAAAAATGGGAAGTTAAACCTGTTGTATTTTGACACACCTTGATTAAGAATATACACTGGCGTATTTCAATGTGAAAATATATGAGTTGATTTAGTTTTAGTCATTGTTGCCGTAGCAACGGCACTCACGATTAATTTAATTTAATTGCTTTTCCATCATCATTGTACGTACAGAAATATACATGCAAACATACATAGTACAATGACTTAAACTGAGTTGATGGTTGGGTATGCGCAACAGCCTGAAACTAATTACTGCGGGCCCAAAACGGTAAGAGACAAATATCAATAACACAAATAACAATTAAACCATGGAGGCTAAAAACAACAGTTCATTGAGTTCGTTAAAGCCCTTGCTCTATTGCATTTCGGGCAAATCGTTTTAAAACTTAAAAGTTCGTGCATCACCACAATCGTATGTGTTCTTTAATGCAGTATGGTAGTACTCTCGCATTACAGACTTGAATGTGTTGAAGTTCTCCATACCCAAGTCAAGAATGTCCGTCAATTTGTTCCATGTTCTGATAGTTCTTATCCAGAATGATCTTTGGTAGGTTGTTGTTTTGCACCGTGGGACTTCGTACTTTACACCTTTCGTATTAGTGGACGATCTTGTTGTCTTGGCGTGCAAGGCAAAGGACGAACTGATAATGCCATGAATTACTTTGAAGAAATGAATCATTTCAAGGTATTCATGCCAGTAACATATTGACCGTAGATGGAGAGTTTGCAATCTGGATTTCTAATTTACTGAACTGATAAATGGAAGATTAAGAATATATTTTGTTGCATGTCTTTGAGGTTTTTCTAGTTTGAGCAGAAGTTCGATAGATTGAGGTGTTCAGACTTGCGTCGCGTAACCAAGATGTGATCGTACCAGTGACAAGTAAATGGCTCTTCTTGTTTTAATGCTATTAATTGTTCGTGTGTTCCGTCTGATGTAGCTAAGCATTTTATTTCCTTGTGCACACTGTTTGTTAACATGCTTGTTCAATGTCAAATCGGAAGATATCCAGATACCGAGATCACGATCATGCTTAATTGATGCTAGTGGAGCGTCATTAATAAAATAGGTGGTAGGGATTGGATTGGTTTTACGGGTAATTGATTGTGCATTGAATTTTGTTTCGTTGAACTGTAAGCCAGTTTCAGATGACCAGTTTCCCAAGTTAGTGATGTCGTCCTGTAAGTTTACTGCATCATTAGGCGATTGTATTGCCTTGAAGACTTTGGTATCGTCCGCAAACATTGCAACGCGTCTTGACTTAACATTGCTTGGCAGATCATTGACGTAGAGGAGGAACAATGCCCAAGTATTGAACCTTGCGGTACATCAGATGTGTCAGGAAGTAGGTCCGACGTTGCTCCTAACACTGTTACACGTTGTTTACGATTTTCTAGATAGCAACGGAACCATCTGAGGAGATTACCTCCAAAACCATAGTCTTTCTGCAGCTTTTGTATTAATACCTTACGATCGACCTTGTCGAATGCCTTTGACATATCCACATAAATCATGTCTATATGTCTTCCACTGTCTAGACATGATCGAACGTAGTCAAGTGTGTCGATGAGTTTTGATATGCAAGATCTCCCAGCCATGAACCCATGTTGACACATGTTAACTGCATCATACAAACGAGTTGTGATGTTGTTTAGGACAGTGCATTTTTTAAGGATTCTTCAGTGGTGGGGCATAACTGCCAAAAGGGCCCATTTTCCTTGCCCTCCCCCAGTATAGTATGCGATCGCCGAAGGTGTGAGCAGAGTACCGCAGGCACGAGTTAGCTAGGGGGATTGAAGCTGGGGGCATGTCCCCCCACCCAGGAAATTTTTAAAATTTGGGTCTCTGAAATAGCATTTGCTGCATTCTGAGAACTCATTTAAAAAAAATCTCAGCTTCTCAAAACAAAGTTTTAATGGTGAAATAAATTGCATGCTAAACATTCAAACATAACATAAGTTTAAGTATGCTCAACAACAAATTTTTGTTTTTTAAACTTATTTTCAATGTGAAACTCATTTACTCAATACAGGTCCTAGGCCTCTGGCTTTGGGGCAATGGGCCATTTTTTTTCTTCAGTGGTGGGGTAGAGTAAGGGGCTCAGTGGGGCAAATGTCCCACCAGCCCATGGTATTAAGAAATGCCTTGGTTTAGCACACAATGTTCCAGAACTTTTGATGTAATGCATGATAGGGAAATAGGGCGATCGTTCTCAGCACACGCTTTGTCACCTTTCTTATGCACGGGCACAATATTAGCCAATTTCCATTCTTCTGGCATTATTCCTGAAAGAACTGATAAATTAAGCTTCTTGCATATATAGGCAAGGTGTTTAGTAGTCTTGCGGGAATACCATCAGGATTTGTTGCTTTGCTTGAATCAAGTGATTTTAACACATAAGAAACTTCGCCTTCGCAATATGCTAAATCAGTCATGATTGGCTCGTCAGACTCATTGACGTCTTCCTTGTTAGCTTTCTTTCTTGAAAATACTGACGCAAAATAGTGGTTGAACATGTTTGCTATACCATCTGGATTATCGGCCACCATTCGTTGCGTTGTATTTGCAGCAGGTGTGTTGACGTTGTTTGCGGATGAAATGATGTCAGCCCGTTGTCAGGGATGTTTCTTGTCTTTGAGCTTCTTTTCAATACCGACCAGAAACGCTTTGGTTTTTGTTTAGTGTCAGTCCCTAAATTGTTGAAAAACTTTTCCCGACTTTCCGCAACATATGCTTGACTTCAGATCGCAAGGTCTTAAATTGCTGCTGCAGTCGAAAATTGTTTGGAGAAGCCTTAAGTTTTTGCCGAGCTGAGTCTTTCTTCCTTATGGCGTTAAGAATGGTACCATTGACCTATGGAGCTGGATTGCGTCGTTTGATCTTTTTCATCGGTATATAATGCAAACGGCTGTTAAATACGCATATTTCCATAATTCCATTGTTACCAGCGATGTTGATATCTATGGCATGTTCAACGAGAGACGTCAAATTGATTGCGTTCAATGCACGTCGCAGTCCTCAAACGTCACCAGCGTTGTAGTTATTGACATACCTCTCAACTTTTGGTCTTGCTTTAACATTCTCAGAAAACTCGTAAAGGACTGTTGAGTGATCCGTCATTATTTCAGTTGTCTCTGGGCGAAGTACTTAGACACAATGACTAGTTCTGGAACAGTGGTGATAACAAGATCTAGTATTTTGTTGGCACGAGTAGGGATGGTGTTTACTTGAGTGAAATATAGTGGTCATTAAGTATGTCAACAAAGTTCACCTCATTCGTACCAGATGCATTCATTGCAGTTTGAAAAAAATTCGTTAAAGCATGCACTTTCGGTTATTGTTTGTTGTAGTGGAATATACCCTTTCTATTTCACCAAGTAGTAATTGTCGAAAATTTCGGATCTAGATATCGGAGTTCTTTCTTTCATTTTAAGAAAATGTAGGGGTCTTAACTTATTTTTTGAAGTATTGTTGTACCAAGCTATAAGTATAGAAGTAAAATTAAAACGAAAATCTAAAAATGACAACAGTTTATCTTGAAAATCTAAAAGAAAGACTATAATAATACAAGGTGCAAATGTATATAATACAGCAATGATTTTTTTCATTGATTTTCGATCGGGGTATATTATATATGAAACAGCGATGAATTAATTATTACTATTTCATATAAATACAGTGTGTGATGCCATTCTTTGTTGCAACAAAGATGAGTGGTATGAAGCCAGCGTTGTTTTGTCCTACTCCAGATGACTACGTACGTAGTGTGTTGAAGAAAGTTGGAGTTACATTCAAATGTCATGGTTACTGGCCTCATGAGTTACAGGTGAATGATGAACAGAATAAATGGTCCCCCAGGGGCCGGTGGTACGAAGACCATGCAGAAAGCACTATCTACCGGGTAGCGACTTTTTCAAACTTCCTAAAATAATACGTTGACCCAGCATTTTTACAACAGGTGCATGAGTTCCCTATCTGTTTGATAGCGCTATCTGGCCTTCGTACAAGCGGCCCAAGAAACAGTTTTTTAATTAGCTAAATAAAAATATTTATATATACATACAGCTACAGTCGTTCAAAAAAGGTTGTCCTTCCAAACTATAAACCTAGGGACTGGTCATAAAGTAACTGCTAGGTTGGGCTGGAGTGATTTGGGATGGGCCATGGAAAATCTTTGGGCAGTTTCGATGGGCCGCCAATTTTTTTGTATGTCCATGGTTGGGCCACCAAACAAAAACCCATGCATGTCGACTTCATAACATGAATATATTAATAATAAAACTAAACAAAACTATCAAAATTATCAAATGCAAATGATGCTATTGAAGCCAGTACTTTGTTTATACAACAACAAGAAGTGGTCGAATCACAGCGAATACAACCTACTGGAAAGCAGCTCAGTATCGTAATTGGTGATGAATGTGTTGGTCTAGCTTGGTGGAATTATCTATGTCAATACATGAATACAGTGTCGTGTATATTGCAATGTTCATACTTGCAAGTATTTTTTTTTATTATAAAAGTTATTACTACCCAATTTAGATTGGGTGGGTCATGAAAAAATTTTTGTAAGATAGATCTACATCCTAAGACGTGTCACCGAACTTATTGGCAAAATTTGTGATTTACCTCCAGCCCACCCCAGCAGTTACTTTATGACCAGTACCTTAGACCTTAATCCTTAAACTCTAAGCGCGAAAAGTGCAATGGAAACGCTCTCCATCGTAAATTTTGGCTTATGTACAAGTAGTGTGACAATCAAGTCTTTCTGACTAAATACGGCAACCACGGTGCCTTTTTCGCGCTTAGAGCTTAATATTAAAGGTAAGGGAGCATTCATTTTTTATATAGCTGGGGGGTGGGGGGTGGGCTGGAGGAACTGAAGTCTAATTCCATGCTAAAACTTGGAACCCCCGAGAGAAAAGTTGATAAAAAATTATGACACCCATTTTTTTACTGAAAAATTTTTTGACCCCTTATCCTAACTATTATTAATCCACACGGTGTCATTTCCGTAGTGTTCCAGGGCTGTAGGAAGCTCTTTATGATTGGGAGGCTGAAAGCGAGGGCCAAAGGTCCGAAGAAATTTTTAAATCTAGAGTCTCTGAAATGCCATTTCCTGGACTTTGGGAAAGATTTTGACAGAATTCTGATGGTCAGAAAATAGCGTTTTAGTATGTCGAAATTTACAATTTGGTAGTACTAAATGGGCGAGGGCATATTGGATAACCAGGATAAGTTTCAGGAAACTGTGGGTAATATCTTCATTCTTTGCAGTTTGTCATGGATAATGTACTGCTTAAAATTAATAAAGCTTAAAATTGATAAAAGTCTGCATTATTTTGAAAAAAGAATGATTATTAGCAAATTACGCCCCCCCCCCCGTTGTTACGGCCCTGCGTTTTCATTCATGCTTTCACACAAAAACGGATAAAAACAAGGTCAAGGAAATGTTTTCCTATGGACTGGTGAACAGAGCGTCAAACGAATTTCTAGTTGCTTCTGTGTTAAAGATGACGAGATAGTTGATAGATTCTAGACATTTTTACCATTCTTGATCCAAATATTTCCAAATTCTATAAAATTATATTGGTGATTTTTTCACTGATTATTTTTGTGACCCCCTCCATTTATACCAAAACTATCAAAAGACCTACCCCTTTGAAGCATGTCAAAATTGGCTGACCCACCTCCAAATTCCTCCGGCCGACCCCCCCCCCCAAGCTAAAAAATGAATACTCCCTAAGGTTTAGAGAGCAGTTCAAAGGACAACCCCAATTAGCTGTATACAGCTATTTCAATAGACCTTTCCCCTTTTAAGTGAGATTTTGATCTAGACAAGTCTGGACAAAAATTTCATCACAGCTTGAAAGAGTACACCAAAATTAGTAATATTCCGAAGTTCCGTTGTAAAATGCGGATAATATAGCCTTGCGAAGTTTGCCGTTTTTCAGTCATTTTGCATTACAAACGGGAAATTGATGATAATCAGATGACCAAACTGATCATCAATTTCCCGTTTGTAATACAAAATGACTGAAAAACGGCAAACTTCGCAAAGCTATATTATCCGCATTTTACAACATTTCGCAACGAAACTTCGGAATATTACTAATTTTGTGATGCTCTTTCAAGCTGTGATGATTTTTGTCCAGGCTAGTCTAGATCAAAATTTCACTTAAAAGGGGAAAGGTCTATTAAGGTTGTCCCCCGAGCAAAGCGGAAAAGTCGAATACGAGCGCGAAAGGCTGTTGGGAATCGCTAATAAATGAATGAATTTATTAGCGATTCCCAGCAGCCTTTCGCGCTCGTATGCGTCTTTTCCGCTTTGCTTGGGGGACAACCTTAATTGAAATAGCTGTATATACAAGGGGAAATAAAGAAGATTTGGGAAAGAAATTGCTAGTAGAGTGGGAGGGGGGGGGGGGTGAATAGGTTTTCGGACCGTCGGATTGAATAGAAAATTGTCCGGATTTCGGATCTGGTACAATTGACCAGATTGCGGATTTATCTAATATTTTAGCTCGGATCGCGGATTTTGCTTCAAATTTGGGCGGATCGGTGGATTTGTATACCCCTATTCACTCCCCAGGGTGGGGTGGGATTTTCTAGAAACATTTTTAATCTTATTTCTACATGCACGGCCTAATGAAAAGCAACCCTGCATGTTTGGCTGTATTTTAACTTATTATGGTTAATTTAATAGTTACTGTACTGCATGCGCAAAAAGATGTTTTAAATAAATAGATAAAATAACTAGTATTAGTATTCATTCAAGCATGCCTTTTATCTTTTTGAACCAACAAATAGTGTTTTTTCTTTAGGCATTTGTATACAACAGCCTACTACCCCGATGGTTAGTTACGACATTGGCAATTAAATTAATAAAAGCGGTAAGACAGGCTGAACGGAAAGGGGAAAATGAAAAGAAGAAATTGTAGTTTTTAATGTATTTTTTAATGAAAACTGCCTAAATAAAATACATAATATTCTTTAACTCGTGATTGTTGAAAACACGCTGCAAATTAAGTTTAATTATTTATGTTTCGAGATATAAATACTCCACTCAATTTACTTAACAATGATTGTTTTTTTCACGCATGCATGTATACAAATATAACTCTTGTAAATGCTGTTTATTTAATTTACTAACAGATTATTACTGCATGAGCATTAGATGTAAAATGCTGTTTATATATTCTACCTGAAGCATTAGGTTTTAAGTTATCCGTTCAAACAAAATCGAGGAAGCAAAGGTATAACTGTTAGTGAAAATACTTTGTTTTGAGAGACAGAGTTCAAGGTTACTGTAAAAGGTCTTATTTATAGTTTTGTGCAGGAACATATTTGTATCTTGGTTGAGTTTTATTGCTAATACAGCAATTGTATAAATTAAAGTTGCACCAGTGTTTGGCACGTTACATAACTATAACACAATAACGTTGTTAATCATGCACCTTTACATTAATTACCGCTGGGCTGCGCCCTCTCTTTGTGTTTTTTGTTCACTAATTCTGAAGCATGGCGGAGCAAGACAATATTTCAGAGTTGGAAAGTATTGGTACGTAATCCTGCTCCATTGATGCGTGAAGACTCAGTGGAAGGTAGGACCCCTTTCTCAACAGACATTGTTTAGGTCGTATTGGCTGATCACGGAAAGTGCATGTCGCTGACAAATCTTCTTCATCAATCACAACCGGCTCCGGAAAGTACTTAGTCGTATTATAGAATCTTATTTCCGTGACATAAGCATAAACATGTGTTATTATATCCATGGATATAACAGTAAATTATGTGATAGAGAGATCATATTCGCGGATGGAACGGCCGGACTCTAGCTATTTCAAGATTCTATAGATAAGGAAAAGGAAAGGGTTGGGTTACCAAGTGATCAAATGAAACCAAACGAATTTGCGCAGTCTGAGCAAGCTCTTTTAACCTCGAGGATCATGGGTACGATTCTTGCTGCGGACTCGTGAGTTCGTCTAGTCCCGTGTGCAAGTAGCATACATGCATGCACTCTCCATACGATTTCAACCGTCATGTAAAGAGGCGAAAATGAAAGTTAAAGCCTGGTTTCCGTATGACACCGACACTCGGCGAGTTCCATTGTCGATGATTACTCATGAGTGAAATCCTTATAGGGTTGCCCTCTGCTTTCTATCCTCTTTTTTCAGCCAAAAATCGACAAATTCATAGATATCTTATATACACTAGATAGTGCATCTAATTATTCTGCAATTCAAAAATTGAAGTCTCAGGTCGTTCCCATGAAATGAGAAGATTCGTATGTTTTCTATTTCTTAAACAGAGAATTCAAACACGAAGTTAACCCTATTTCAAATACATTTTTAAACTATTCAAAGGATGAATGTTATTGTCGCTTTTAAGCGTTCATTAGCAAGTGGGAACGACCAATATGGCTGCCATCTATTCAAATGGGGGTAACCGCTGGAATATTCTTGGCTTCAATTTTAATAAAAGAGATGCGCTATCTAGTGTATATAAGATATCTATGGACAAATTACGTAGTACGTAGAAAAAGCGGAGTGCGGAGTAAAGAATGCAGAGTACGAAGTAGTACAACATAACATCGCTCTGTGTCATCATTACGTTGCATATATAGCCCTGCATGAAACTGTTAATACGAAGTTGTGTCAAGTCGATCCGATGTCGTGTAACTGCGGACTGAAGGTGGAGTGTAAATTTCACATGAATCGGGAAAAACATGAAAGGGTATTATTTAAAATCTACAGTATATCGTGTGCTTTGTTTTTCTTATTTTACGAACTCAAGATATTTTACAAAGAATGTTGACAGAATTAGTGTAACCGTTTGCGCTGTGTGCCTAAATTAAGGGATATTTTAGACGAGGCAATTTGTGCCGCTACATGCAACGCGCAATGATGTAGAGACAATTTTTGTAGAGACTAGAGAAGGGAAACACTCGTAAGGCATACCACCGCACAAGAACGCCTGATCGCAGGTTATACGACTTCGTTCTCCGCGTCACAGAATAAGAAGGTACAGCAGAAGTGTAACTCAAGCAAGTATTTGTCCGCGTTTTTACAAGCGATTCGTCATCAATCACGCCATCCTGGCTAGTACAACCGGCACTTTGCACCTACCGAAACCTGATAAAAACTTCTGGTTGTACTAGCCAGGATGGTGTGAGCGAGTTAAAATTTTCCTGGACGTAAAACAATAAGGGAACCGACGCAGGACTCGAGTTACACTTCTGCTGTACCTTCTTAGGCCTAGTTTATACGTCGAATTTCAGTCGAATTTAATTCGTCGCATTTAATGTGACAATTCTGCGACGGAAATTCGACCGAAGTGTTGCGTCAGTTTAGACGTCGAATTTTGGTCGGAAAATCAAAACATGCAGGTGTTGCAGGCTTTAAGATGGACAGATGAAGGCTTATAAAATAAATGCGACGGCGTTCACCAAAGCAATTATCTTGAAACAAATCCTGGAAATTAGAAGAGAAATGCGTCAGAAGCAATTGCAAATTTTGTACTTGGTATTTAAATAGAAAAAGGAAGATTCTTCGGCTATGCTTGACATTGCCTTCCAATTTGTGTGAAGCGAAAATGCTCCGAATCCGTTCATGTCGTCGACTTCAAAAATCAGTATAGTGGAGTTATTAATAGGTTGGAGTTGAACTATTCGTGGTCAAACTATTCTGAAAAGCGTTTTAAGAATACTTTTCGCTTGTCACGACAGTCAAATCTTCCCAATCATTCTTCACAAGATTGGAAACCAGTTGGAGAAAAAAATTAAAACAGAGCCGGACAATTTCTTTTTTTGTTTCTTTTTTTGCAAATTTCTTTTTTTCTGTCAATTTTTTTCCTAGTAGAGTTCATAAAATTGTTATTGAGGTTTGTGAAGTAATGGTTACACATTTATGGCAGGATTATGTGTCTAGTTATTTTCCATTGACGGAAGAACATACATCATGAAAGAGAAAATCATTGATATGGAAGATATTTCGGGGCAGTAATTGTTGCAGTCATAGAAATAATAGACATAGAATGCGTGCTGATGACGAATCATGTCTCCACTTTTTCACCGAGTGCGTGCCCTTTTGAATGCGCCATTTTGAATTTTGGCCAGGAGTGCAAACTACATTACTACAAAGTATAAAGAAAGCTAAAACTACGTTTTCATCGTCAAAACGTTTTGTCTTGTTGTCTAATTTGTAGTTTGGGGATAGATTTTGAGTTCCTTGAAGGCACAAACTGTCAAAGCAAATGTGCAGTTACAAAACACTATGAAAACAGTGAATATCGTGCAGCGTTTTAAACGCAAAGTAGATTCGCGAAAATATAAATTACTTATAAAACATTTTTGCATGCTCTGAACGTAACTGTTTTGCTAATATCGTATAAGATTACCAAATGATAGTTCTTTCTTCGTCGGGTTTCGTTTTTCTGCAATGTAAACGAAGTGTTTTCATGTTCTTGAAACATTTTATAGTTGTCGATAAACTGTAAATTAATTTAGTTTATTGTACGATCATCCAGATTAAATTTCTTTAATTATTTCTGACGTTTCGGCTACCTACACGGCGGCCATTATCAAAGACATATTACAGTTACAAAAAATTTTTTACAGTTATAATAATTTTATCTTGCGTCAAAAATGACGTGCGCGTGTTCGTGATGTTGTTTGCTCGCGCCTGCGTTCAAGGCATTCGAGCCTGCGTTCATGCGTGATTAGTCCAGCGTATGCTCCTGGCATATCGCGGCAAATGTTAATGCTGTTTTCATCGCATTTTGTAAACCAGCTTTCTAAGAACATTCTCTCATCCTCAAAACTATTAAACTCCATACAAGTGGCTCCCTCCCAATCAATTTTATGATTTGTTTCCATACAATGAACCGCAATTCTATTCGCCACGTCTTGTTTCTCTGTTGATCGCTTATGTTCTTTAATGCGACAATCTAGAGTATGTCCAGTTTCATCGAAATAAGTTGCGGGGCATTCAGCGCAGGTCACTTTGTAAACTGACCCTATCCGGGTCTTTGTATTGGTTGGATCTTTCACTTTCATCAAGGTATTTCTTAGCGTTACCGTTGGTTTGTGAGCCACACTAATGTTGAAAGGTCGTAGGATTCTTGCAATTCTTTCGGATGTACCTTTGATGTAAGGGATGGTGGAAATGGTCTTCTTCCGTTCAGTTTCGTCGGTAGTTGGTGTTGTTTTCCGGGAATGTTCAATTACGCTGTTCACAAAAGGTTTAGAATATTTGTTGATGGTAAAAACTCTATCAAGGTGCTGCAACTCATCTTCGAGGGTTTCAGTAGAACTTCAAACTGCATGCGCTCTCTTCACTAAGGTTGCTATTGTAGCTGACTTGTGCGAGGTTGGGTGGTAGGATGAATTATCTAATAAACGGCTGGTGCTGGTGGGTTTTCGATAGACACTCGTTCGAAGGGAATTGCCGTCTCTGGTTATCATGCAGTCTAGGAAAGCTATCTTACCATCTTTCTCAGGTTCCATGGTGAACTGTAGACTGGGGTTTTGCTTGTTGAGGTGGTCAAGAAAGTCGTTTTTCTGATGTTTATCGACACTCGTCAAGGTATCGTCGACGTAGCGAAACCAAAAAGGTGGTGGGTTTGGGTATGAGGATAATGCTCATTCTTCTAACCGTTGCATTACAATCTCTGCTACGACTACGGAAACTGGAGATCCCATTGCTGTGCCATGAAGTTGTTGGTAGAAACTTCCGTTGTACTGAAAAAATGTAGACTTTAAACATAATTTGAGTAGGTCTATGATCTCTTCCTTCGGGATTGGAAGTTCATCATCATAGTTAGCTAAGGATTCTTCCATGCACTCAATTGCTAGTTTTAATGGAATACTTGTGAATAAAGACTTAACATCAAAGGAGACCAGTTCATGAGTGGCACTGATCGTCTCTGCTTGAATTTTCGTTATGAAATCTGCGGAATTCACGAGGCGGTGTTCGGAGCGTTCTGTTAAAGGCTTCAAAATGCGTGCAAGATATTTTGAAAGTTCATATGTTGGTGATGAACAAAACGACACGATTGGTCTCATAGGTATATTCTCCTTGTGAATTTTAGGCAAACCATACAGTTTTGGAGCTTGCGCAACCGAACAACGAAGTTTTGAGTACAAAGGTTTCTTTATAATGTTTGCTAAATGTAACGGCCAAAGTTTTTGATTTAGGTTACGTTGTAATTTCTTTGATGGATCGCTCTTAAGTTTTTTGTAAGTGTTCCCGTCATTCACCAAAGTATCCATTTTTTTATGGTACTCAGATTTATCCATCACTACGGTTACACGACCTTTATCGGCTGGTGTAATAACAATCGAATCGTCCTTTCGCAACCTAGACAATGCTTCTCGTTCAGCCTTAGTTAAATTGCTTACTGGTTTTTGACTCGTTTGAAGAGTTGACGCAACCTTAGCCCGAACTGTTTCTTTCGCTTCCGCAGAAAGATTCTCTCGATATATAGCAGATTCTACACTCGCAAGGATCTTAGCCGTGGGTAAACGTTTTGACGCAAGATAAAATTATTATAACTGTAAAAAATTTTTTGTAACTGTAATATGTCTTTGATAATGGCCGCCGTGTAGGTAGCCGAAACGTCAGAAATAATTAAAGAAATTTAATCTGGATGATCGTACAATAAACTAAATTAATGGAAAAACCCGGATTCAAGCCCTTCAGTAAACTGTAAATTGCCGAAAAATAATCGTCGAAAACCATGATTTTAAAAGCGTTGTCTCAAGCTCAAGCAACGTAGAAAAATATGAAATATAATTGTGTAAGTTTAAAAACATTATTGAATTTCATTTATATTATAAAAGAGTTGAAATATTTGTAGAACATACCTATTGAGTTTGTCTTGATCTTTCGTGTTTTGTTTTGGCTTGCACAACAACATGACGTTGAAAATTTATTTTTAAACGACGATTTCTGCATATATTCTGTTCAGAACTATTGCTTTTTGTAAAAAAACCCAATGGAATGGGTTTTTAGACACTTTTTCTTAGTTTACCAAACTTTTTTTCCATTTTAAGTCCCGATATAAATTTTTTTGCAAACTTTTCATTTGAAAAAACAATTCGCACTCCCTGCAACCACAGAATAGGAAGTTATAAGTATAACTTCCTATTCTGTGCTGCAACCGCGCGAAATTCCCTGCCTCAGGAGTCTGGGACCAACCAAAATGCCCTTTTCAATGCGCCATTTTGTGGAGACAATTTTGTTACTGAGAAAAGAT